GGGTTTTGGAGGAATGCATGGCTCTAGATATATCCTCATACATTTCCTCCACCTCCTTATCGGGGTGTGCCAAGGTTGATGCGTAAACCTGTATGACCTTCAGCGAATACCGTTTGGTGATTCTGAGTATAAGGTACGCAACCCACGTCGACACACTCACAATCTTCACAACGTTGTTAACGAGAGACTTGTGGACGATAAATCCGACACCTCCTTGGGACAGATGGTCGCCCTCCCGGTAATAGAGCAAGTTGCCGTATTCAAGGTTTACCGTTTCCTCCCTCCTCTTCGGACTTCGCCAGCTAGACTATGCCAGCGTAACTTGTCTATCTCTTCTTCCAACTCTACAATCTTTTCGTCAGTCCTCAGGGTGCGTGCGTTATATGTTGCCAGGTCGAGTCGTCATAGGTGGCAACCGTACCTCCACCGGAAATTATTAGCACCCCCTGCCCCGCCGTTACCATGGTCGCCACCGTAGCCAGGAATAGCGGGGCCTCATGGGACTGGGGGCCGTCTCTTAGTAACTTTATCCATTTGGGGGGTATTTTCCATAGTTGCCACGCTTGGCAAGCGGGTTGGCAGCCGCAGTTTTTTATTCTATTTTTGCTGTTATCAGGATGATTCTGATGCCCATCTCCTGCCTGTTTCCCTTTGTCGCCTTTTACGACACCCACGGGAAGATATGGGGTAGTGGATATTCTTAACCGCCACTACGCGGTACTAATCTGTAATTAAAGTGATTAGTGATTATTAATTTTAGTAATTCAATTGGTAGGTTCTAATTGTCTAGAACCCCAAGCTCGTAACAGTATAATTGAATCACATGGCAAAAACCAAAAGAGTGGACAGTGTTTTAGTTATAAATAAAACACCATTCCATTACATCATAGTCTATAAAAGTCCACTGCTGAACATAGGCTTTCCTCACAGATTGCCTCATAGAGGAATTTTGCCATAGTTACTACGCTTGGCAAGCGGGTTGGCAATCGCAGATGTTTATTATTTTGAGTTATCAAGAAGACGCCGCTGCCCACCTTCTGTTTAATTTTCCCTCTGTCGCCTCTTACGGCAACCTCGTAGTGAATATTCTTAAACCACCACTAAACAGTTTATAAAACACACACACACACACACACACACACACACACACACACACACACACACACACACACACACACACACACACACACACAAACAAACGCACACACACACACACAAACGCACGCACGCACAGACGCACGCGCACACGCGCACACGCGCGCATGCACACACGCGCACACGCGCACAAGCGCACACGCACAAGCGCACACACGCACACACGCACACACGCACACACGCACACTCGCACACGCGCACACACGCACACACGCACACACGCACACACGCACACGCACACACGCACACACGCACACACACACACACACACACACACACACACACACACACACACAAACACACACGCATACACGCGCACACGCGCACATGCACACACGCACACACGCACACGCACACGCACACACGCATACACACACACACACACACATACACACACACACGCACGCACGCACGCTCGCACGCACGCTTATATTTTATCAGTTTTAAATTAATCCATTCCTAGAAAGGGCTTTCCAATTAAAATTTTCGAAGTTAGTAACTCGTACATAAATAAACAAAACTTTCAGTTTTGTAATAACTCACCATACCGAAATGCGAGTTTGTGAGTAAAGAATCGATTTCCACGCACTGGTAATATGGGAATAGCTTCATCAAGCCTGCGAAATGTAGGTTTAGGTGTAGCATTTCTGAAAGAATATACCGTTATATTTATCTGTTGCCAGAGTCTCGTTCGTAAGGTAACATGGTGATTCAAGTAATACTGATGAGAACTGAGGATGGTATTTGATGTAAAATATTACAAAGATATAAATTTTAAAAACTGAATATGAAATACGTGGCAGAGCACAGCGTATCCGGGCTACGACCACGCTCGCACAGAACTCCAACTAATAATAATAGCATTCTCCATACGAAACCTATTGTATTTAATATGGTGACTGACGAATACCGGGGAGCCTTTTACTGGTAACAAGGCATTCCATTTTAGTACAACGCTTGTACACTTTGATTCTTAGCTTAAGATAAATGTAGTTGTATAAGGGCTACAACATCCACTTACCATCAGGTGGACTTTATCTCTTTCAGTTTATACTCAACTGAGTTTGAACAGCGCCCCAATTATTAATGCTCACTTAATAATAAACTCATCATATTTTCTTCTATTTAGTGAATGTACTTTAATAAGATACTTACTTTAATTTTTACTCAATTAACCATCCGTAATATTTTTAATAACAACTTACAATCTGGGTTAAAAACTTTTCATTCTGTTTGAATCTATACTTACGTACTTCGCGGAAGCCGCGCCGGAGCTAGGTCGCGGCGCTTGCTTAATGGCCCGATGTCACTTTCAAGTTCCTCCATTTTGTTATTGTTACACATTTTTCAAGTTGATCCCATTTGTTCTTGTTCTCCGGAAAAGCCTTCCGTACGGTTAATCTGCTTATTCTGCGCAATATACTTCGTTACTAAGTTAAATTTTACGGACGTTAAATATCCCTAAATAAAATGTTGTTTAACAAATACAACAGAATAGGTGCTTGTTGTACTCTAGAGATTAATTAATTAATTTATTTAAACTTTTATGCACAAAAGAAAAATCGTACATATTGCGGACTTAACGCCTTAAGGCGTTTCCCTGAACAAATAACCTTGAGCATGCAGTGCACTGCCGCCCGACCTCTGCGTACGCCCATTTATCATAGAATTCACACAATTTTTGGAATTAATTTTAATCAAAAAAGAAAAGCGAACTTTAAAAATTAAATAAAACGTGAATAATCTAGATTTTTAAATTATCTATCCATTAGTGGAATCCTCTAATGATTCGAAATATTACTGGTATAGTTGTAGCACGAATGGGTCGGCTCGACCGGGGAAGGACCACGCTCTCACAGAATACCAGCGTAAAGTAGCAGCTTAATGCTGCTGTGTTTCGTATGGTGAGTGTAGAGAACCGGAGACCCATTTTACTGGAAAAGAGGCATTCCATCTTAGTCCTTACGGGTGACAACGCATCTGCATTTTGATTCGTAATCTAGGATAGATGCAGATGTCTATGGGCTGCAGCAATCACTTACCATAAGGTGGACTGTGTGCTCGATTGTCACCCTTATCCTATAAAAAAAGCAACAGATGCATGTAATCAATAATTTTAGTTATTTTTTAAAAGTAGATTTTAAATGTATTCTTCTATTGTCTCTATGGTCTCTTTTATTGTTCTGCTGTTTTGTTCTTCCGACGACATTATTTTATCGCAAATATTTATACAGGTGGTATCGCAACGAGTTTGCTTTGAAGATAAATTCCCCCCTTGTAAGTAAACCGTCCTTTGTAAAATGTTTTGCGCGATGGTGCACAACATTTGTCCTATGTCAGATTAGCTAAAGAACAATAAAATAAAACCGGTTTGTTTTCCAAAGCGCTAACAGGAGTGTGTGACTAAGCAAACAACTTACTACAAACGTAATATATTCGGGATTTATTTGACATATTTATATTAAAAAATGAAGTTGAACAATTTAGATTAAAAGACATTCCGGCATGTATAAAATACTTTTTCTATGATATTTGCTTAGTAATTTAAAAAAATATAAATTCCTATACCACCTTTCTGGATTTATCATTGCATTAATGATTCTATCGTCACATATTTTCTTGATTTATCATGACACAGATATATGTGTATATATATGTATAGTATTTAATTAGGTTTATGTATTTGTGTACGTCTGTATTAAAATATTTACATTAGTATGATATACTCGTATGTATAGAAGGTATTTATATTTATTATGGTTATATATACTGGTTTATTAAATTTTCGTTACCTTTTTTTCTGATTATTAGTTTACTTTTGCTGCACTATCTCTTATATGTTTATCTCTGCTTAGCGTAATGGTTGACTGGGAAAGAATGCCTCAAGGCAATAAAAAATTCTTCGTTATTTAGAGACTATTATCTCATTAGTTATGAGAATAAATTACATCCAAAAGCACATTATTAATAATCGATATCCTATCATCGCATTCCACGTTCTAATTTGTTTTTGTGTTATGAATACATTTAAAATCTACTTTTAAAAAATAACTAAAATTATTGATTACATGCATCTGTTGCTTTTTTTATAGGATAAGGGTGACAATCGAGCACACAGTCCACCTTATGGTAAGTGATTGCTGCAGCCCATAGACATCTGCATCTATCCTAGATTACGAATCAAAATGCAGATGCGTTGTCACCCGTGAGGACTAAGATGGAATGCCTCTTTTCCAGTAAAATGGGTCTCCGGTTCTCTACACTCACCATACGAAACACAGCAGCATTAAGCTGCTACTTTACGCTGGTATTCTGTGAGAGCGTTGTCCTTCCCCGGTCGAGCCGACCCATTCGTGCTACAACTATACCAGTAATATTTCGAATCATTAGAGGATTCCACTAATGGATAGATAATTTAAAAATCTAGATTATTCACGTTTTATTTAATTTTTAAAGTTCGCTTTTCTTTTTTGATTAAAATTAATTCCAAAAATTGTGTGAATTCTATGATAAATGGGCGTACGCAGAGTGCGGGCGGCAGTGCACTGCATGCTCAAGGTTATTTGTTCAGGGAAACGCCTTAAGGCGTTAAGTCCGCAATATGTACGATTTTTCTTTTGTGCATAAAAGTTTAAATAAATTAATTAATTAATCTCTAGGGTACAACAAGTACCTATTCTGTTGTATTTGTTAAACAACATTTTATTTAGGGATATTTAACGTCCGCAAAATTTAACTTAGTAACGAAGTATATTGCGCAGAATAAGCAGATTAACCGTACGGAAGGCTTTTCCGGAGAACAAGAACAAATGGGATCAACTTGAAAAATGTGTAACAATAACAAAATGGAGGAACTTGAAAGTGACATCGGGCCATTAAGCAAGCGCCGCGACCTAGCTCCGGCGCGGCTTCCGCGAAGTACGTAAGTATAGATTCAAACAGAATGAAAAGTTTTTAACCCAGATTGTAAGTTGTTATTAAAAATATTACGGATGGTTAATTGAGTAAAAATTAAAGTAAGTATCTTATTAAAGTACATTCACTAAATAGAAGAAAATATGATGAGTTTATTATTAAGTGAGCATTAATAATTGGGGCGCTGTTCAAACTCAGTTGAGTATAAACTGAAAGAGATAAAGTCCACCTGATGGTAAGTGGATGTTGTAGCCCTTATAGAACTACATTTATCTTAAGCTAAGAATCAAAGTGTACAAGCGTTGTACTAAAATGGAATGCCTTGTTACCAGTAAAAGGCTCCCCGGTATTCGTCAGTCACCATATTAAATACAATAGGTTTCGTATGGAGAATGCTATTATTATTAGTTGGAGTTCTGTGCGAGCGTGGTCGTAGCCCGGATACGCTGTGCTCTGCCACGTATTTCATATTCAGTTTTTAAAATTTATATCTTTGTAATATTTTACATCAAATACCATCCTCAGTTCTCATCAGTATTACTTGAATCACCATGTTACCTTACGAACGAGACTCTGGCAACAGATAAATATAACGGTATATTCTTTCAGAAATGCTACACCTAAACCTACATTTCGCAGGCTTGATGAAGCTATTCCCATATTACCAGTGCGTGGAAATCGATTCTTTACTCACAAACTCGCATTTCGGTATGGTGAGTTATTACAAAACTGAAAGTTTTGTTTATTTATGTACGAGTTACTAACTTCGAAAATTTTAATTGGAAAGCCCTTTCTAGGAATGGATTAATTTAAAACTGATAAAATATAAGCGTGCGTGCGAGCGTGCGTGCGTGCGTGTGTGTGTGTATGTGTGTGTGTGTGTGTGTGTGCGTGTGTGCGTGTGCGTGTGTGCGTGTGTGCGAGTGTGCGTGTGTGCATGTGCGCGTGTGCGCGTGTATGCGTGTGTGTTTGTGTGTGTGTGTGTGTGTGTGTGTGTGCGTGTGTGCGTGTGTGCGTGTGCGTGTGTGCGTGTGTGCGTGTGTGCGTGTGTGCGTGTGTGCGTGTGTGCGCGTGTGCGAGTGTGCGTGTGTGCGTGTGTGCGTGTGTGCGTGTGTGCGCTTGTGCGTGTGCGCTTGTGCGCGTGTGCGCGTGTGTGCATGCGCGCGTGTGCGCGTGTGCGCGTGCGTCTGTGCGTGCGTGCGTTTGTGTGTGTGTGTGTGCGTTGTGTGTGTGTGTGTGTGTGTGTGTGTGTGTGTGTGTGTGTGTGTGTGTGTGTGTGTGTGTGTGTGTGTGTGTGTTTTATAAACTGTTTAGTGGTGGTTTAAGAATATTCACTACGAGGTTGTCGTAAGAGGCGACAGAGGGAAAATTAAACAGAAGGTGGGCAGCGGCGTCTTCTTGATAACTCAAAATAATAAACATCTGCGATTGCCAACCTGCTTGCCAAGCGTAGTAACTATGGCAAAATTCCTCTATGTGCCTCATCTGTGAGGAAAGCCTATGTTCAGCAGTGGACTTTTATAGACTATGATGTAATGGAATGGTGTTTTATTTATAACTAAAACACTGTCCACTCTTTTGGTTTTTGCCATGTGATTCAATTATACTGTTACGAGCTTGGGGTTCTAGACAATTAGAACCTACCAATTGAATTACTAAAATTAATAATCACTAATCACTTTAATTACAGATTAGTACCGCGTAGTGGCGGTTAAGAATATCCACTACCCCATATCTTCCCGTGGGTGTCGTAAAAGGCGACAAAGGGAAACAGGCAGGAGATGGGCATCAGAATCTTCCTGATAACAGCAAAAATAGAATAAAAAACTGCGGCTGCCAACCCGCTTGCCAAGCGTGGCAACTATGGAAAATACCCCCCAAATGGATAAAGTTACTAAGAGACGGCCCCCAGTCCCATGAGGCCCCGCTATTCCTGGGTACGGTGGCGACCATGGTAACGGCGGGGCAGGGGGTGCTAATAATTTCCGGTGGAGGTACGGTTGCCACCTATGACGACTCGACCTGGCAACATATAACGCACGCACCCTGAGGACTGACGAAAAGATTGTAGAGTTGGAAGAAGAGATAGACAAGTTACGCTGGCATAGTCTAGCTGGCGAAGTCCGAAGAGGAGGGAGGAAACGGTAAACCTTGAATACGGCAACTTGCTCTATTACCGGGAGGGCGACCATCTGTCCCAAGGAGGTGTCGGATTTATCGTCCACAAGTCTCTCGTTAACAACGTTGTAAAGATTGTGAGTGTGTCGACGTGGGTTGCGTACCTTATACTCAGAATCACCAAACGGTATTCGCTGAAGGTCATACAGGTTTACGCATCAACCTTGGCACACCCCGATAAGGAGGTGGAGGAAATGTATGAGGATATATCTAGAGCCATGCATTCCTCCAAAACCCAATATACGGTGTTAATGGGAGACTACAATGAAAAACTAGGCACAAGAGAGAATGGTGGGCTGAAAGTAGGGAAATTTGAAACAGGGCAACGGAACACAAGGAGCCAGCAGCTGGCCGAGTTCATGGAGAAAGAGGGACTCTTTATGATGAACTCTTTCTTCCAGAAGCGGCCCCACAGGAAGTGGACCTGGTCGAGCCCCGACGGTTCGACAAAAATGAAATTGACTTCATTATGACGACCAGAAGACAACTGTTCAGTGATGTCTCAGTGATCGCGTAGGTGAAAACCGGCAGCGATCACCGAATGGTTAGAGGTACACTGAACCTAAACGTTAAGTTGGAGAGGTCTCGTCTAATGAAGTCAACGCTCCGTCCCCCTCGTGCTCTGTTTTAAAGTCCCGAAACCTTTCAGCTCGAGTTACAAAACCGTTTTCAGTGCCTAGAAGACTGCAATGAAGTGAACGATATGAATGACAAGCTCGTGGAAACTGTCCATGCGGTCGGAGCTAAGTTCTGCAGGACCCGCCGCAGAAGAACACAAAAACTCTCCGATCACACTCTTAATCTCATGGCTGTTAGACGGGAGATGAAGCTACATTCTTCAACAGATTTGACAACATACAGGCAACTGAACAGACAGATCTCCAAATGCATGCGGCGGGACTTACGCAACTTCAATACAGCTCGTATTGAAGAAGCGATCGAGCGGAACCAAGGCTCTAAAGTCTTTGCCAGAGATCTATCTAACAGAAAGTGCCAACTGTCAAAGCTGAAGACAGAATGTGGCAGCATCGTTTCCGGGGCACCTGAGATTTTGAGTGAGATTGAGAGGTTCTATGTTCAGCTGTACACGTCATTGTTGGAGCCACAGGCATGTGTGAGTAACAATCCAAGAGCGAGTCTTATCCGACACTATTCCGATGATATCCCGGACGTCAGTCTGAGCGTGAATAGAATGGCTCACCAGCACCTTAAAAACGACAAGGCCCCAGGCGAGGATGGAATTACAGCGGAGCTTCTGAAAGCGGGTGAAAAACCGGTACTTGAAGTCCTTCAGAAGCTCTTTAATTCCGTCCTCCATGGTGGCATTACACCAGAGGCGTGGATCAGAAGTGCAGTGGTTTTGTTCTTCAAGAAAGGCGACAACGCTCTCTTGAAGAACTACAGACAGATTTCCCTTCTGAGCCACGTCTACGTGCTGTTTTCGAGAGTCATTACGAATCTTGACTTGACTTGACGACTTCCAACCTCCCGAACAAGCCGGTTTCCGAAAAGGATTTAGCACCATAGACCACATACATAGCCTTCGGCAAATTGTACAGAAGTCAGAGGAGTACAATTTGCCACTATGTCTGGCGTCTGTAGACTATGAGAAAGCCTTTGATTCCGTCGAAATTTGGGCGGTGCTGCCCTTCAGCGGTGCCAAGTTGACTGTCGGTATATCGAAGTGCTGAAGTGCTTGTACAGCAGGGCTACGATGGCTTTCCGAGTACATAACCAGAGTATAAAACCTACCCAACTGCAGAAAGGTGTAAGACAGGGTGACGTTATGTCCCCGAAACTCTTTACCACTGCCTTGGAAGACGTTTTCAAGCTTCTGGACTGAAAAGGATATGGTAACAACATCAATGGCGAGTACAGCACTCACCTTCGATTTGCCGACGATATAGTCCTTATGGAAGAATCGCTGGAGGACCTAAGCACTATGCTCAATGACCTCAATAGTGCTTCCCAACGGATAGGTCTTAAGATGAACATGGACAAAACAAAGATCATGTTTAACGTCCATGTCACACCTATGCCGGTAGTTGTTGGTATGCCGGTAGTGTTGCTCGAAGTTGTTAACGAGTATATTTACCTGGGACAAATAGTCCGACTAGGTAAGTCCAACTTCGACCGAGAGGTCATTCGACGGATTCAACTCGGTTGGGCAGCGTTCGGGAAATTACGGCGCATCTTCTCGTCAGCTATACCTCAAAACTTCAAAACGAAATGTACAACCAGTGCGTGTTGCCAGTGATGACTTATGGAATTGAGACGTGGTCCTTCACTGCTGGCCGGATGAGGAAGCTCAAGGTCGCTCAGCGAGCTATGGAGAGGGATATGCTCGGAGTTTCTCTGCGTGATAAACTCAGAAATGAGGATATCCGCAGTAGAACCAGAGTGACCGACATAGCCCAACGGATTAGTAAGCTGAAGTGGCAATGGGCCGGCCATATAGCTCAAAGAACCGACAACCGATAGGGAAGAAAGGTTCTTGAGTGGCAGCCTCGTACCGGTAGACGAAGTGTAGGGAGACCCCCCATGAGATGGAGTGACGACCTGGTAAGATATGTAGGAAGTCGATGGATGCAGGTGGCTCAGGACCGTGCTTTGTGGCATTCCTTGGGGGAGGCCTATGTTCAGCAGTGGACTTGTGGAGGGCTGTAATGATGATGATGAATTACAATTTAAAACCACACTAATAATAAACACAATTGTACTACTAATCACTTTAGTTGCAGTTATATTCGTAAGTATTCGAAGTATTCGCTTATGTCGCCAAATCAATACTGCCTCGGTCGTGGTCTATACCGGCCTTATATAGGGCCTCAGATAGTTTCCAGAACCTTCTACTGTAGAAACATCTACAATGTTCTAGTACATATCGGCCCCGAAATTTCTAGAAGGATCTTGACTCTCCTATTTCTGCTACTCGATACTAGAGGGCGCTGGTGGTAACTAGTGTTGTTATGTACAATACATTAATAGTGGCGCGCAACAATATCATTTCGTCCCGAGGGTGTCGTAAAAATCGAGTAAGGGAAAATTATATAGCTTAACAGGTGGTGGTTTTACCATTCCTTCTACACCATTTGTGAAATACTCAGACCGGTGAATGTGCGAGATGTATAACACTGTGATATTCGTCGGTTGTCGACTGAATATCATTCAGGCCGTTAGTTGAACGGCTCGTTTAGTATAACTGAAAGGCTTATTAAGCTGGTTGGTTTAGACATATGTATATAGTTTGTTAATTTGCAGTTGAAAGCAAAAATGATACTGAGGGTTGAAAGTTTTAATTTAAATGTCAAACTTAAGAATTTTATGAATTACGGACGGATTTCGATAACTGCACGACCACTAGTAATTATTTATAAATGGGATTAAATTATTTATTAAGATGTTTTCACGTAATATTTTCTTTTCACGTGCTACAATGGCACCTGGTGGTAAATGGTGATTGAGCACAGGATAGTAAACCGCTCTCTTGCTTGTAAGATACCTATCTATCATGCATGCACACCTACATGTCATGCATTCTAATAGAACCGAAAGACATAGAACATAATTTAAAATTTTGTACAACCGATTTCAATATATATTATTAATTCGAAAACTATCGGTCAAATTTTGATCAAATTTATATGGAACTACATGAGAAGTACCAGATTTCAAATTATCTTATTTAATATAAGAATCATCGAAATCGGTTTACATAGAACAAAATTATGAGGTAACACACAAAAAAAAACATACAGTTGAATTGAATACCTCGTCTTTTTTGAAGTCGGTAGAAAAATAAAGGAAAAATGAGATCATTGCTCCCTCAAACTCTTTGAGTAATGCGTCGAGATTTGTCTCAGCAGTAGGACGAAGTTTTTTTAAATAAAATGAAGTAAACGCTTGTATAGTCTAGTCTAGAACAGTAAGTTATAAATCGGCTCTTAAAATTTGATTAACAATTTCAGCAGGCAAAGATCAAAGCGAATTTGATTGCGTACTTTATTTTGTTTTCTATAATAAGTCAGTGCTTGTTTATTTTCCAAGTGGTGATGCTGCCGAAGATGGTAAAGCTCATTGAATTAGTTTAATAAAAACCTATTCACACACACACATTATAATCAAATAAAAAGACTGATCAGATGAAGATGCTGGCAAATTATTCCACTCCTTTGCTGTACGCATTATAAATGATGATTGAACGACGACGATGATGAGGAATTAAGTCATGCAAAACTTGCGTACAATGAGAGATTCACACGCTCAATTATTGCTGTTCTTTTGGACTGATTTCATCTGATATATCTCCACAACTATGCTGTCATCTATGTACCCATAGATATAGGGCATAAGCAGGTCATTGATATGCAACAAGAAAAGAGTTGCGGAAAGAACCGACCTCTGAGGAACTCTGATATTAGTTGTCATAGGCTCAGAAAAGCAGCCTTCTACAACGACTCTGAGAGATCATTCCATCAAAATGTAACCCTAACCCAGCTAATTAGACCAGGAAATAAGCCGTACGCTGAAAAAGTATCTAATAGGATAACGTGCTACGCCGTGTCAAAAAATATAAATTATTAGGAATAACTCAAAAATTTCATTACAGCCTATCAAGGGTCCACTGCTGAACATATACCTCCCCATAGATTGCCTCATTGGGGGATATTTACTATAGTTGCCACGCTTGGCAAACGGGTTTGCAACCGCTAAATAAATGAATATAAATAGAACTGCGATTCAGGATTTGCAAGGCTGATCCTCGCTCTGTAAGTTGCCTTGTGTGGGCTGCACACCTCACACGCTATCGTTTTTCGCCAGTTATCTGCGAGACCGGCAGCAGTTTGTTGATTGCAATAGGCACTTTTCTACACCCTACCCTACTAGATCTGGTGTTAGTCAGGGCAGCAATCTTGGTTCTTTGTTTTTAAATTTAATGATAAATGATTTGCTCAAAGTAGTAAATTCTTATACTTCTTTACTGTTTGTCAATGATATAAAATTAGTTTTAGAAATTAGAGATAAATCTGATTGTTATTCTTTACAACATGATATTGATAAAGTTTTAGAATAGAGCATAGATAATAAACCTTTTTTTTAATGTCTCTAAATGCTCAGTGCTGTCCTTTAGCCGCTCACGTGCCACAATTCATCACCATTACGTGATGAACGGGAAGCTGCTTCATAGAGTTACGAAGGTTAGAGATCTAGGTATACATTTTGCTGCAGATATAAATTTTAGATTATATATAAGTAATGTTAGTATAAGGGCATACCGTAACCTCGGCTATGAGAACGCTATATGATGAACTCGTTAGGAGCCACTTAGAGAGTAACGCTGTCATTTAGGCTCCTCACGAAGCCAAATACAAATTTATGTTAGAGTGAATCCAAAATAAATTTATGAGATTCATGTACTTGAAATAATTTGGAGTTTACCCGGGCTATCCCTTGTTGTATCCCACTTTATTTTTGCTCGGTATGGTAGGGTACTACAAGCTAGAAGTTAGAAGAGAAGTCGCTCTCGCTATGTATACGTATTGAAAGTGATGATGGGTAGAATACCCAACCCGAGAGTGTTGGAGATGGTGCGACTGAATGCGCCAGGCGGAAGCGTTGGGCGCCAGCGGCGGCCGTCGTTACTGACGGTGCCGCCCGCGCGCACTGCCTTTGATCAACACCATGTCGGAGCGAACTGATTTGTTTTCATGTTCGCTGAATGAGCTCAGTAAAATAGCATATTATACTGTATCGTTGGCTACACTGTCAAATTAGGGTGGTTACCCTGTAATGATTGTGTATGTTTTATGTGTGTAAATAAATAAATAAATAAAATTAAAAAATATCTAGTGGAAAGTTGAATTCTTTAGAATTTCTAGTTTCTTTGAATTTGTTGTTTTATAAACTTAGATGTTTTTAGGTGTTACATAAAAAGAAGCTAATTTTGCCCTCTCGTGTATTAGCAACAAAATACATAAAAAAATGAAGCTTAAAATATATGCTAATTTTACTAATAGTTAATTATCTCTTGTCTGCTTTGATTCTTGTTTATACATTAAAAATGAAAATGAAATTAACAATCTGACTTTATGTTCACTTTTATTTAAAGTGAAAATAATAAACATTCAATTTGTTTGCATTAATAAAGATTGGGATTTTTTACTTATCTGAGAAGTTCGGACATGCCTTTGAAGACAAGTTTTAATGAGACGCTATTGTCTTGGAGTTTGTCGTTTAACTACAAACTTGTTAATCTTTATGTTTGAAACACGAAACTTGTAGCGAGACTTTCTCACGTATATCGATATTGTAAAGTTTAAATTAATACAGTTCTAATCCGATTTAGGCAAGATCCCTAAGTTCTGTTTTGTCGTGAGTCTTGTTAGCTCACAAGTTTTATTTAAAATAAAATACATCGCTTTTAAACTGGTATGCAATTAACTCAAATCAGCTCAAACTTTATTATTACTCTTAGGTAGCGGTGTAAGAAAATCCACTACCCCATATCATCCCGTGGGTGTCAATATAGAGGGAACGTATATAAGCGCACTCGTTGTTCGAGCCGACAAATTTTTCCAGGCCATGAGATTCCTCCAGTATTTCCTTGCGTCGCCTCTTAATTTTATTCATCTTATGATATCGAAAAATATATATTCACAGGTTTGAAACTCAAAGGTAAAACTGTTTTGTAAATATTAAAGATATTATTATTTGCACTATCTACGATGAAAACAAAACCTTATTAAATGAATAAGCTGCAGTTAAAATATAATAGTAATTAATTTTAATAATATGCAAGATATTGAGTGACAAAACTGCATTCGTAAAATTTTTAGTGAAAATCACAAAATAATGAGTACTACTTCCCTACATTTGATAAACTTTAGTCGCAACATGGCATAAAGTCATCGGTCGAAATGTAACGAACACGGCGGTCACCCGGAGCGGAAACGTCTAGCAGCCCAAGGCCGAGATAACGGTAGAAGTGATGTTCCGTTGCACTGAATTCCTTGTGGTCAAGCTATTACCTAACGTTTGTATGGTTAGGTTAGTTCAAAGTTTTATGTAACTCATTGAATATTTTTCTTTCACTATATAATGTACAGTTAACGAGAACTTACAAGAACCTACCACTGTTGAAAATAGACGCCTTCAACAATATGATCAATTAACTGTTAAGGTATCAACACGTGATTTAAAGATGGTAGTACCACAGAGTAAATAATAGTACAACAACAGAAGGATCACTCTCCGATAGCAAACTTGCGAGCTTAAACCTAGTTACAATCGCTAATGGTCTGATGAAGTTTGCAATAATACTTTGCATGCCTCGGATACGACCTTCGTTAAAATAGCCTAGCGATTCAATTGTCGAAAAAAAATGCGGCGCGCCTATTAAATAAAAATGCACTTTACGTTCGCGTGCGAGAGTCTGTATCACTTAGCCCGTTAAGCGCCTTTGATCAGGCCGCTCCTACTGCAGGATTAGGTGTTGTGAGAAAACAAATAGAATCCTTTGATATTAGTTGGCAGTAGAATACACCAAGGTGTTATTGTACGAGTATTAGTAATTTGCTGGTAATAAGAATATTATTGATCAATGTGAGGAAGGTGAATATGCAACATCGAAAACATCTAAGATTATAACAACGTGAACATCTGTGAAACTCAGATAATTCACCATTCACCAATAATTTTTTAACCATATTCAAAAAAGGAAGAGGTACTCAAATCGACTGTATTTTTATTATGTGTGTTACCTCAGAGCTATTTTCTAGGTGAAAACATTTTGATGGTTCTTTTTTTTTTACTTGAAAGCTGGTACTTTTAATTAATATATCCCATATAAGTTTGACAGCATACAGGCATCTGAACAGACAGATCTCCAAATGCATGCGGCGGGACTTACGCAACTTCAATACAGCTCGTATTGAAGAAGCGATCGAGCGGAACCAAGGCTCCAAAGTCTTTGCCAGAGATCTGTCTGCCAGAAAGAGCCAACTGTCAAAGCTGAAGACAGAATGTGGCAGCATCGTTTCCGGGACACCTGAGATTTTGAGTGAGATTGAGAGGTTCTATGGGCAGCTGTACACATCATCGTTGGAGCCACACGCAAGTGTGAGTAACGATCCAAGAGCGAGTCTCATCCGACACTATTCCGAAGATATCCCGGATGTCAGTCTGAGCGAGATTAGGATGGCTCTCCAGCACCTTAAAAACGGTAAGGCCCCAGGCGAGGATGGAATTACAGCGGAGCTTCTGAAAGCGGGTGGAAGACCGGTACTTGAAGTCCTTCAGAAGCTCTTTAATTCCGTCCTCCATGGTGGCATTACACCGGAGGCGTGGAGCAGAAGTGCGGTGGTCTTGTTCTTCAAGAAAGGTGACAACGCTCTCTTGAAGAACTACAGACCGATTTCCCTTCTGAGCCGCGTCTACGTGCTGTTTTCGAGAGTCATTACGAATCGTCTCGCGCGCAGACTTGACGACTTCCAGCCTCCCGAACAAGCCGGTTTCCGAAAGGGCTTTAGCACCATAGACCACATACATACCCTTCGGCAAGTTGTACAGAAGTCCGAAGAGTACAATTTGCCACTATGTCTGGCGTATGTGGACTATGAGAAAGCCTTTGATTCCGTCGAAGTTTGGGCGGTGCTGCAGTCCCTTCAGCGGTGCCAAGTTAACTGTCGGTATATCGAAGTGTTGAAGTGCTTGTACAGTAGGGCTACGATGGCTATCCGAGTACAGAACCAGAGTACGAAACCTATCCAATTGCAGAGAGGTGTAAGACAGGGTGACGTCATATCCCCGAAACTCTTCACCGCTGCATTGGAAGACGTTTTCAAGCTTCTGGACTGGAAAGGATACGGTATCAACATCAATGGCGAGTACATCACTCACCTTCGATTTGCTGACGATATAGTCCTTATGGCAGAATCGCTGGAGGACCTAAGCACTATGCTCAATGACCTCAATAGTGTTTCCCAACGGATAGGTCTTAAGATGAACATGGACAAAACTAAGATCATGTTTAATGTCCATGTCACACCTATGTTGTTGGGAACACTAAGCTCGAAGTTGTTGACGAGTATGTTTACCTGGGACAAATAGTCCGACTGGGTAAGTCCAACTTCGACCGAGAGGTCAATCGACGGATTCAACTCGGCTGGGCAGCGTTCGGGAAACTTCGACACATCTTCTCGTCAGACATACCTCAAAACCTTAAAACGAAATTGTACAACCAGTGCGTGTTGCCAGTGATGACTTACGGAACTGAGACGTGGTCCTTCACTGCTGGCCGTATGAGGAAGCTCAAGGTCGCTCAGCGAGCTATGGAGAGGGCTATGCTCGGAGTTTCTCTGCGTGATAAACTTAGGAATGAGGATATCCGCAGTAGAACCAGAGTGACCGACATAGCCCAACGGATTAGTAAGCTGAAGTGGCAGTGGGCCGGCCATATAGCTCGAAGAACCGACAACCGATGGGGAAGAAAGGTTCTCGAGTGGCAGCCTCGTACCGGTAGGCGAAGTGTAGGGCGTCCCCCCACGAGATGGAGTGACGACCTGGTAAGACATGCAGGAAGTCGATGGATGCAGGTGGCTCAGGACCGTGTTTTGTGGCATTCTTTGGGGGAGGTCTATGTTCAGCAGTGGACTTGTGAAGGGCTGTAATGATGATGATGATGATGATATAAGTTTGATCAAGTTTTGACCAGTAGTTTAGGAGTTATACTTACTACTTACTTACTTAATAATACGTATTACAATGCGCATTAATATTGAAGTGGGTCGTACAAAATTTTTATTTTCATTATTTGTCTCTCTTCCTCTCTTTTTAAAACACGTTACCTTCACAGGAGAGGAGTTTCACCTGTATCGGGGGGCAGTTTACATAGAACAGACACATAACAATTATTTATAGGCCATACAAATACTTGTTCCGTGCGGGATTCGAACCCACGGCTCTTAGCGCTGCAACTTATTGCTAAGCCATTGCGCCACAGAACTGTCTCTTGTCTATTTCTCATTTTTTGATAAGATAATTAACGAAAGAGTGGCTATGAGAAGTGCTGCTATTTTCAATCTCTTTTTTTATCGACCAAGTGTTAAATTGTAACCAGTATATGCTGATCCTGAATTAGTAGGCAGTCACTAGTACTGGGAAGTCTACTTACACTGAACTCTTTTAAGGATATTGGCATTATATGCGAAAAAACTGAAAATTGCTAAGCTGTGGTTGGGTCGCTAATCAAATAATAAATCTGTAACTATGGCGTCATTAACTAGGTACCTAATTATCTATATGTAACTATAAATAATAATATTATACCTTTCGACATCCTTAGGAACAGTAAAGAATGACAAGTCGACATTTCTATTGTTATTTAAGCACCCGTATACTATGCAGTACTTTTTGGCTTTTTGAGAGGCCATACTTGAATAAAAACTCAAATATCAATATCAAAAGTGCCTAAATACTTATAAGAGAAAAATACTTTTTGCTAATGTAAGGCAAGCGTCAGCTCGCGCGCCTAATTCAACTTCATTGAATTAGCCTCTTGTAGGCAGCCGCGCAGCGTAGGTATATTTTTATTCATAATGAGCGGAGTGAGACTGGTCTAGTAGTACACAGACTTCTCGCATCTATGACGCTGTTCCCCCGTCTTTATGATGACGTGTGATGGTTATATCACTATTTGCCAATGGCTCCTACATATTGGGGATTTACCCATAGTTGATTTATAACTGGTATTTAGAGATAATATCGGGCTTAAGCTCAAACTTCACGATATCAAAATTTGTGTAACATAGTATGGCCTAGACTTGAATTTTGACATTGTGAAGTTTGACTTTACTTGAGATTATCTCTGAATACCGGCCTAAAAATATCCATGGGGTAGTGAATTTTCTTACGATACAACAAAGGGCGCTGTAGTTACATAGGTAGTATTTGTTAGACTAATTAACATTAGATGTTAGTGTTGAGTATTCATTTGGTGTTTTTGTTCTTCTCAAACAGACTTTGGTATCTAATGCTGGATCTATGCATATTCAGCCCTGACTTGAAAATTGGTACCCTAACCTTTGTCATATTGATATATTTGATCAGAATATGAGATTTTTTCGGCGATTTTGCACGAAAATACCGCCATCAGTCCATCGTCAGAGCCTCGTTCGTCACTTAAGAGGGCGGAAAAAGTAGTTTCACCTCACTAATACTAAATGGATGGAGATCTGCTTATCATCTGTTTGTACAATGCTGAAAATCTGAGGGTGAAATTTAGTTAAATATGTAGTGCCTGCAAACATTTTCAAAAATGTATACTGTAGAAAATTCAAATGTGTTATTTGGTGAAATTTAAAGTACCAACCTATAAATTACACAGCACAGAAACACTCCGCTCGCCAACGGACTTGCACTTTATCTGTGATTTATATATGATAAGTCTGTCCAGGTCTAAACCGCTACTTATTTGCGTAGAAATATAACTAAAGAGAAAAAACAACGGCGATTAGTAAGTATACTAGTCAAAGTAAATAAAGATATTAATTAATTTGCAACCATCCGCTAACTAAATACAATGTCTTACCTGAATTGAAGAGCGCCTCCCACCCTCCCTCAATTTTTTCATTATTGCTTTATTCTCATAGTGAGTGCACGTTGATTACAACGCTCGTCAAATATTATCTATATTGGTGAGTTTAATTATTTTTTTACTTTTTAGAAATGCAGCCACCATTACCTTTTTTTTGACTTCATACTTGTTTTTGTTAATTGCAGATCATGGACAACACTGAAGAACACAATGATTCTAATCCTATCACTATTCCGTATTACTGTGCACAGGATGTGGATAAATTTACACTAAATTATCACAACCGAAAGGAGCAGCTTCACGATTTACCACCAAATAGAATAGCTATTAATGAAGAGCGGCAATCGAAATCAAAGAAATGTTACAGGAAGAGAAACCGTTCTCAAGAATCATCATCATCATCATACATTATCCGCCGAGATAAAGATAAACAAAGTCATCGTCTGATTAAAATCAGCATTTGCGAACTTAACGAGCAAGAAGAAAATGTCATCCCCGATCTTAGTGCTAATACAAGTGTTCAATATGTTGTGATGGATTCAATGTATGATGAAGTGTTAGATGCTACAAATTGTCTTATAAAAAAATAGGTGAAAAATTATGTGAGAACTAGTAATTTAATAAATGTAGCTTGTAAAATGTAATAAAAGTTATACATTGAATTTTATTGTTGTTTTATTATGTATTATTATTATTCAATTGTGTAGAGGAAAAAAGCAAAAGACATTTATTGTTACAACGAATGTATTTATTAAAACTTAATATTTATTTATTTTAAAGTAATATAAAGTTATAAACATGATAATACATATAACTTAAGCTAAACATTTATCTCTTACTTACTTATACAGTACATAGTCGTAGCATTACATAGTTTTACTTTCAAATTTATTAAAATATAGTTTTATAGTGTTCCCACGGTAACGTATTGTAGCCATCTGCCATAATTTGTCTTTTATCATCATCTCTATTGAGTAAAAGTTTATCAACTTTTTGAGTAAATATTTGATGATTCTTTGATCTAATTATACAAATACTCTTTCTAAAGTTTTCATTAGACCACAACGCTCGTTTATATTTTTCAATATTAAGATTTTTAGTAACAGATTTTTTAATACCCTTAGCTTTTCTTATTGAGGTTGTTTTAGAATCAATACAATATAATTTCGCTCTTAATCCAACAAATTTAGTTATTATATCACCATCCATTTCGTCTTTGAAAAACCTTGGAATTTTACAATTTACTTTGGGCATATCATACTGATTGTTTTTGAAATTACTTGTATCAAAATATTTTTTTATGTCTTCATAAAAATCATTTGTATTTATTAGATACAGCAGACTATCAGTATCAGTATAACAAAGTTGCAGTGAATTTTTATACATGCGTTTCATTATAGAGTAATGAAAATGATATAAATGACTCTTAGCTAAATCCAGAATTGAAAACGCAATGTAAATTGGGCGATCAAGAATAACTTTCGTTAGTTCTAACTGGATTGCTACTAACGAATCTGAAATTATTATCAAATTTTTAAAATTAGGAGCACTTACATATTTTTCAGCTCCACATAGTTTATTAGTCTTATTGGATGTATCTTTCCATACATTCACCAATTTTACATCGACTTGTTTTCGTTTATTCTCTATTATCTTTCCAAAAATAGAATTATTTTGTTTTTTAAAAAAATCTTTTTTATGTTTGCTTCCTGGCGAAGCAAACTTTTCTGCTGCAAATGGTAAATCTGAATGATCATCATGTATTTCAATTGGATAGTGCAAGTCTACTTCAAGAATATACCCAATATCATTATCATCAGGAACACTCATTACATCAAATTGATTAATTTCTTTTTCACTTAGGAATTAAAAGTTCTCCGTTGGTAACTTTTGCATCATAGCAAAACCATATTTTTTTTATAAGATAAGGGTGACAAACGAGCATCCAGTCCACCTGATGGTAAGTGGTTGCTGCGGCCCATAGACATCTACATCTATCCTCTGTTACAAATCAAAATGTAGATGCGTTGTCACCCGTTAGGACTAAGATGGAATGCCTCTTTTCCAGTAAAAAGGGCCTCCGGCCACCTGCACTCACCAAGCGAAACCCAGAGGTAAACCTCTACTTCACGCTAGTTTTCTGTGAGGTCGTGGTACCACCCCGGTTCGAGCAGGCCCATCCCTGCGACAGCGTGGCTCTACCACTGTTAAAAATATAAAATTTAAATTTAAATTTAAAAATATAAATTTACACAATCAAGATAAATTAAAAAATTGTTTTTGTCCTTGCTATTATAATCGGACATGTATTTATTGTTTGCTTTTGCATATCTTAGAGAACATTGAGCAAGACCACCGCGAATTCCTTTCTCTAAAAATTGGTACATTTCAATATGTGAAAGTAAATCTAATTGTATGTTCGTATGAAACAACAAAGCATTCCAACTTATTGATGGGGATGAGACATAGTAACATGGGTCAAAACTATAATGTTTTAAACTCATAGCTCGGAATTTTTCAAAAACATCATACAACAGTAATATATCACAATTTAAATATAAATCGGTGAATTCGCCTAAGTTACGGATTTTAAAATCATTCCATACCTTCAATGCATGACTGTAATCTTCATCTGAAACAGATTGAAATGTAAAGTGATTGAAAAATTTCGATTTCTCTGGTAATTGATTTTCTTCATACCGATCCCATAAATCTATATAGTCATAACAGTAGATACGTTTCTTTCGAACTAAATTAAATAAATATTTGTCTTCAAAAAACTTGCATAAATTTTTAACATCTTTCGCTTCCATCGTTTTCACTAAATTATCTAAGCTTGAGCTCAAAAAGTTGAAAGAGTCAATAAATTTCAACTGAGCTGAGTTCTTATTACTATTATTATTATTTTATAATGGAATAAACTTAGTAAATGAAATAAAGTTTTCTTTATTTCGGGGTATTAGATTTATACGACCACAAATGGCGGAAAGTTCCTTTATAAATAAATGACAATCATAACCAGAAATGTTGTGAAATATTATAGGTATGAATGAGCATGTCTTACCTTTTAAATTACATTCGTTATGAGCCGATCCTCTGTATTTTCCAGTAAAGTGATCATGATCTGCAACTATGATATCTGTACTACTAAATATTTTTTTACACAAATGACATTCCTTTACATTATTCAAATAGTCTCGCCCCGTTTCACCGATTACCAGAGGCGTATTATTTGAAAGTAATTTATTTAAAGTAAATTTTTTAGCACACTCTGACCCTCGATAGGAAACTAATTTATTGAGTTCGGGCTTAGATTCACAAAATATATAATATGCAAAACAACTGGCCTCATGGATTTGAATATTTTCTACATACGTAGTTTTATTTTTGTCTGAATACTCATGTTATAAACTCTCAAAGTCGCCGTATATTACAATAGGAATTCTTTGAGTTTTTTCATAGTTTGAAAAATAAAGTTTAGTATTTTCTTCCGGTAAAATGGTTTGGATCCTCGCACAATCATGATTTAAAAGTTTTTCTGCAGTGTTAAAATATATAAAACATTCTTCACATAAATGTATTATAGATTTATGCTTAGTTAATTGCTTGTGTACGAGTTTATCAAACAAAAATGATGTTTATTATTTTTATTTAAGTAAAGTAAGTTAACATGCATTATCTTTCTTTTTAAAGTTTTATACAGCGGTCCGGTCACATTACTTTTTTAATCTAAACCGTAAATATTAACGCTCACATTAGGATTCATTTCCTCTAATAATTTAATATCATTAAAACTTGGAGGAAATAACAAATTATCTGTTTTTAAAACTTCTGAGTAATGAGGGTATGAATTCACTCTGTTAGGATTACTTGTAGTTGGATACAAATGAGCTAAAATACTCCAAAGAAAGCAGTATTTATCATTGTTGATTTTGTATTACGTATTTTTTCAGGTAATAGTATATACGAAACAAATCTTAACGGATTATATTTTACAATATTTAATTCTAAGTGTCTTATGGCCTCAATAGTCCAACCTGATTCGCAAAGCTCGAATTCTGAACACTTGTTCGTTATTTTTTCTGCAAAACTATTGTAAGCCGACGAAAGTTTAGTATTTTGGTATATAATTTCATATTAGTATTAAAAGATTTAATAGATGATTCATTATTCTTGGGTAAAGTATATGTAACAAACAATTCACATTTATTTTTTAATGCTGTAAGTTTCTTCAACATTTGTTTAATTAGTTGAAGAGATGTGTGTGAAATATAAGATAAGAAAATTTCAGGTGAAATAGTTAATTTTTCAAGGACTAATTCTGTAAGTGACAATTCTGTTCTTGAAAGCACATGCTCTTATATTTACATTATCAAACTCGGTTTGAAGTAAGCAGTTGGACTTGTGAATATAGGACTTTTGATGAGCGGAATAATGTTAAATAAAAAAAAACATTTTTTTAATTATTTTATTATTATTATGAATACAGATCATTTTATTATAATAAAGTATAGTTTTTTTTTTGTTGTTAGATTTTGAATTTTAGTTTTATAGCTTTATTTTAATTTTATGTTTATGTTATTAAAAGAAAGAGTCCCTTAGAGACAAATTTTAAGGAAATAAATATATTAACTTAGCATCGAAATATATTTATGAAAATGTAATGTACATAAAAACATAAATAGCTTTCATAAGAACAAAATATGTTCATTTTTAAATACTAGGAACAAACATTAATACTTGTAATTGTTGTACACTTGTAATACCAGTTTTTAGACTTTATAGAATTAGTAATTAATTTATGGGTAGGCAATATATACGCTTTTACAACAAACGCCTGGGTGTTATTCCAGACTATATTCTATCTAGAGATATTACGAATAGTATAAAATTCTAAGCCGGGTACCAAATATTTCTAAAAATAAATGATAAAAGACTTATTAAATTACTACACTAAATATAGATCAGTTTCTAACCTTTATTTGGATACAAAACTGGACGAACGTTGTGATAATCTTCTTTGATGCATGATACCAACTGGGTAACAGTCTTCCACGTTGGGGTTTTCTCATCGACGGCTGATTTAAAGCTAATCAGAGAGTGCTGCCAGCGGTCGGTTGATGGAATAGCCTCCAGCTCGGGGAAGTTAGAGATGCGCACTTCGATTTAATATTCACCTCGATTCGAAGGCTCGCTCCGGTGTATATATCCCGACCCTGTTCGGCATGATAAGTAGCTTTTTAAAATCCCTGCTAGGATAGGTTCAGAATCTTCATCCTGGAAACAATAAAAAATACTATTTAAACAAAAGCATACTGATAAGCAATGAACAATATTTATATTCCCTCGTACCCCGCATAAATATATTTTATACGATGCTCATAACATGACTTAGTAGTCCAATTCACTAACAATTGTATAAATTACATCGATCGTCTAAGAATTTAATTAAATACGTTTTCATAAAAAAATTAACCTATGACTGATAATTTATTCACAACATCCAATCAAATAGAAACTAATTTTTCATCATGTGAATGGCAACTCAAACTATTAAAATCAAATAAGATTTGCTTACCTCAGAGTCTGGAAAAACTTTTAATTTACGTTTCCTGCTGGTCGAAGCTGGGGTGAGTGATGATAATGTATCAGCTTCAGATTCCGACTCGCTTCCGAATAATTCAACTCGTTTCTTGGACTTAGGAACTTTTGTTTTAGTCTTTAATACATTAGCTGGTTTCTTAACCACTTTCTTCTTTTGCGAAGTCGACTGTAATTCAGCGTCTGACTCGATGGGGTTGTAATACCTAAAAATGTAACACAAAATATATCACTATACAGAAACACTCATATGAAAAACTTATAAAGCGAGACATAATATAACTTTACTCTAACATAATATAACAAATTAATTATTATTCTATTGTGTTTAATGAGTGAGGAGACTAAGTGTTACGTACATACTTGCTTTCTTGATGATAATGCTGAACACTTTCAGGTCTAGTAGACTGTGGAAAATACGATGCAACTAATGGTTAAACACCTCCCAACATTATATTTGATACCCTATATTGTAACACTATCCCCACTTGGAAGTGTTTTAGTTTGACATATTATAAAATGAAGAAATATTTCATTTGGTAACTTTAGCATTGACCCGTATTAATGTTATTTGTAAGGAATATTTTTGCTTATAAACATTAAATGCTCATATGTGAAAAACACTTAACATAAATGTTTGCATGCGATGTCAAATCAACATTGCATTATCAGCCGAAAACACCATTGGCGACAGCCAGACGCTGTAATAGGATATGACAGTTTTTTACAGGTATAACGTATATATTTCACAATAATATGGAAATGGGTCAGCATGTAGCGGTCAATGTACTTATTAAATTTAGATCCATTATAAATATATCTTTGTTTAAAATTAATGCTTTTTTTTTTGGAAAAAAAAAACCAACAATTTTCAATCTTAAACTGAATTTTATACTATTCGTAATATCTCTAGATAGAATATAGTGTGGAATAACACCCAGGCGTTTGTTGTAAAAGCGTACATTTTACCTACCCATAAATTCATTACTAAGTCTATAAAGTCTAAAAACTGGTATTACAAGCTTATGTTTGTTCCTAGTGTTTAAAAATGAACATATTTTTTCTTATGAAAGCTATTTATGTTTTTATGTACATACATTACATATTCATAAATATATTTCGATGCTAGGTGAATACGTTTATTTCCTTAAAATTTGTCTCTAAGCCGTTGATGGGTTTTAAGGAGTTCTGAGACGTGGCTCCATTATTTGTAATTGATTGTTCAAGAA